GCAAATTTAAATTTGCCTAAAGCTTAATTTACAAACAAAAATATATTTTTGGATTGAATGTAATGATTCCTTTAAAATATGCATGTCTTCTCTCCCTTTTCCACCACCTGAAATTATAGATTCTCTTTATAGCAGCAGGGTACATGATGGAGTGCAAAACATGTCAGTCTGTGTGTGCATAGTCACATGCCCATTTATTTTGTCCATTCTGTGTTGGTGAGTTGAAACAATCCTGCTGCTATATCTCCTGGGGAAGACTTCTGTATATTTTGGTGGGGGCTTACAAAATGAATCGATTTCAATGTTCAAAAGTTGGCTTTGCAGCTGTGGCATGCCACCTTTTATAAACAAGGAAAAAAAGAGCTGCTTTTTATTTTTCTGGAAGGAAAATGCCATCCATCATAGAGTTCTGCAGTCCCTGTTCATATTTTTACAAGTAATTTTCATTTAGTTTTCCTTTTCCTAATGAAAGGTCTAAAGTTATTGAAAATGTAAGTAGTGAAGCAGGAAATAAAAGGAAGATTAATTGTAAGAAACCAAAAAAGGATATTTTAAGAAAAGTGTTACCATTGAATAATCAAAACTTTACAGGCAGGATGAATATTGAAATTTGTCTACTTTTCTCATTTTACACGTAATGAAGCTGAGGCTTTTATCAGTTCAACATTACACAGCTCAGTAGTGATAAAAATCAAAGCTAAGACTCATTTCTACTAACCTCATTGACATTGTTCTTTACTTTAAATATCAAATCAGTATAAAAGGGTCATGTCCCAATCCCTTTCATTTTAATAAATGAAATTACTTTCTCTTACCTATAAAATAACTTTGAGGCCGGGCACGGTGGCTCAAGCCTGTAATCCCAGCACTTTGGGAGGCTGAGACGGGCAGATCACGAGGTCAGGAGATCGAGACCATCCTGGCTAACACGGTGAAACCCCGTCTCTACTAAAAAATACAAAAAAACTAGCCGGGCGAGGTGGCAGGCGCCTGTAGTCCCAGCTACTCGGGAGGCTGAGGCAGGAGAATGGCGTAAACCCGGAAGGCGGAGCTTGCAGTGAGCTGAGATCCGGCCACTGCACTCCAGCCTGGGCTACAGAGCGAGACTCCGTCTCAAAAAAAAAAAAAAAAAAAAGACTTTGAACATTTTGCTATATTAATCAATTATGTTGTGTTTTATTCTGGTAGATTTTAGTTACTTGTCTATAATAAACTAAGCATTTCACAAATACATTTTTTACAAATATATTAAAAACCTTAAAAACATAGTCATGTTTGCATTTTACTTTATTATATAACCAATATGTGCCAACGTAACTAGGACACAGAACATGCACATTAAATATATGTTAAATATAAATGTATTTAATAAATATATCCTAAATTCTGGTGAAAACTGAAACATGCAAACTGACTTACAAGGGCTTATGCTTCATTGAGGAAGACAAAACAATTAATAATTAAGTATCACACAAAATTTTATAAAACTCATTTATAAACAGACCATTTATGTGAAAGTTGCAATAATACTGAGTCGAAGGAGATTTTCAAAATATCTACCTGTAGCCATCATTTTATATTCTTATGAATGAACTATTTAATAGTTGCAGTTATACGTGACTGCATAACACATTTTACATTTTTTTAGTTCTTTCAAAACTAATGTGTTATCTGAAGTTATGACTAATTGTCAAAAATGTTTCAAGGGAGTATATAAAATTTTTTAAATATGGCATAGTTTTGATTCACATGAAATTGATGAATAATTGATGAATAAATACACATATCCAAGTGACTTCTGGGGACTCACACAGAGAAATTCTGTTAATACACTAAAGTTGATCATATGCGGTGCACAACTGGAAAGGAGGAGTTAGACTGATTTCGGTTTAGATTCTGGCAACTCTAGATGTTAACATGCAGATCAGAATTGAATGAGGTATCTATGTTGGCTTCCCATTAATTCTTAAATAATAGATCTATCACCAAAAGGATATGAAATGGCCATTATTTAAATCTGGTCATGTGCCACATTCTCTATGATATATCACACTTCTTGAAGTGATCTTAGTAACCGTCAGGTTTACTAATTGTCTATCTGCATAGACTGAGGGAGAGAGGTGAAGGAATTTGCCAAAGGTAAGTATTAAGTCAATACAACTAGTGAGCAGCAAGGCCAGGATAAAAACGCAAATCTACTCTATCTCAGATGAATACTGTTGTTTCTAAGTCATGTTGTCTAACTGGGAGATTGACTCGGAAACATAATGATTCAAATTAAGTTGAATAACCATGATAGTGAAGATAAGTTCCTTGTATGATCGGTAGTACTACATATGTGTATATATGTATACTACATATACTATTACATACTACTACATGTACTATATGTTGGTAGTACTATATATATGTGTGTGTGTAGTACTATCATTCATCCATGGAACTTTATATATAAATAAGTTATATATAAATATAAGTTATATATAACATATATAATATATATTAAGTTTATTAATAAATATAAGTTTCTATAGATTTATATATAATTTATATATTATATAATATGGTGTATATGGTATAATATATAATATGGTATATAAATATATACAATGGTATATAAATTATATTTATATATAAATATATATTTAATATAAATTATATTTATATATAAATAAATATATATTTAATATAAATTATATTTATATATAAATAATAAATATATATTTAATATAAATTATATTTATATATTTCTACAAATCTATGTTTATATATATAAATTATATATATTATATATAAATATATACACTTATATTTATATAAGTTATATATGTTATATATATTTTTATATATTATATATAAATATGTTTATATATAATATATTTATAATTTATATATTAATTTATATATAAGTTCATATATTATATCTTATAAATATATAATATAAATTTATATATTTATATAAATATATAAATTTATATAAAGTTCTGTGTGTGTGTGAATTATATATATATAGTGTGTGTGTTATACATATAAAGTTCTATGTGTGTGAACTATATATATAACACACAGACACACACTATATATATAAAGTATCTCTGTGTTTGTGTAATATATGCACACATACTTTTTCTTCCCCATCTCTGATTTGTGTATAAGTGTATATACATATATATGATTTGAGTATATATATATATAGTGTGCATATACACACACACCTTACTGAGATATAATCCACATACCATACAGTTCATATATTTAAATGGTACTATTCAGTAGTTTTTAGTATCTATGACTTTTATTGTTTTATTTGTTTATTTACTTTTTTGAGATGGAGTCTCACTCTGTCACCCAGGTTGGAGTGCAGTGGCACGATCTCGACTCACTGCAGCCTCTGCCTCCTGGGTTCAAGTGATTCTCCTGCCTCAGCCTCTCAAGTAGTTGGGAATACAGGCATGTGCAGTCACACCGGGCTTTTTTTTTTTAGTAGATACAGGGGTTTCACCGTGTTGCCCAGGCTGGTCTTGAACTCCTGAGCTCAGGCGATCTGCCCACCTCGGCCTCCCAAAGTGCTAGGATTGCAGGCTCGAGTATATTCTCAGAGGTGTACAAACAAAATCACAATCAATTTTAGCACATTTCATTGCCCAAAAAATAAACCTTCTACCCATTAGCAGTTACTCCCCATTTAACACTCAACATCAGCCCCAGCTCCAGGCAAGAGCAAATCTACTTCCTGTCTTATATTTTTCCTTTCTGGATATTTCATATGAGTAGAATCTTACAAAATATGCTGTTTTGCCACTGGCTGCTTTCACTTAGCATAATGTTTTCAAGCTTCATCTATCTTGTAGCATGCATCAGTACTTCATTTCCTTTTATTGAATAATATTCCATTGTATGGCTACATCACATTTTTAATCAGTTGTTCAGTTGAAAAACATTTGAGTTGATTCCACTTTTCGACTATTATAAGTAATGCTGTTATGAATATTTATACACAAATTTTTGCGAGCACTTGTATTTCTATTCCTATTGAGAATATATTTTTAATTTCTGCAGAATTGCCAGACTTTTCCAAAGTGATTGAATCATTTTATATTCCCACCAGCAGTGTATGAGAGTTCCAATTTTGTACATCTTCTCCAACACATTTATTGTTATTTGTCTTTTTGATTATAGCCATTCTAGTATGCACAGTGGTTTCACTGTGATTTTGATTTATATTACTCTGATGGTTACTATTGTGGGGCACTTTTTTAGTTGCTTTTTGACTCCGTATATCTCATTGGGGAAATATTTATTCAGATCTTTTGCCTATTTTAAAATTTGATATATATCTACTTTTTTAATGAGTTGTAAGTTATGTGTATATTTTAGATACAAATCCCTTAGCAGATACAAGATTTGCAAATATTTTCTGCCATTCTGTTGTGTTTTTCACTTTTGGGATGGTGTCCTTTGGAGCACAAGATGATACCTACGTTTACAAGTTGCATTTTATACACGATCTATGTATGAATATAAGATGCTAAGGGAGTGAAATATTTCTCCTATACAATTGAGAGGTGAGAACTAAGAATTTCATGACATTTGAGTCAGAACACAAAAGTTAATAGTTGTTCGTCACAAAACATGGATGTAATAACCTTCAAAATTAATATAGTATAATCCATTATGGCTAAAGTGTAGAATGATATTTCAAACCTAAAAATGTATGTATATGTTTATGATTAATATGATACAGTAAATATAGATGTGTGTATATATATACATCACACATACACATGCACACACACACACAAACATATGAGTTGACCATAGACCCACACAGTATTGAGAATTAGCTGACACAAAGAGACAAAGGACTAAAAACACACAGCAAGAAGCCTTCTATGTCTATGCTAGCGATCATCTCACTAGGTGTCTTTGTCAAGACCCACACAATTTTATGAAGTCGAGAAAGCTGTTTACTAAAGTGAATTTGTTTGCTTGTTTTCTAGGTTTAAGTAACAGCTTTTCTTTCCCAGCTCTGATTTATTTGAGTTCAAGGACTTCAGTATTCAATTTGAAGGAGTGGAAATAAACCAGGAAAGAATAAGGAGCAAGAAAGCCTCGATTTCTTATCCTTTTAAGGTACCTTTATTCTGTTAGCTTTATTATTATTAGAGGCATGTGGATCTAAATTTGCCTAATAATGTAGTTAGGTACCAGCTAATTGTCAGATACTACTACCTTGAATTAATTACTTCTAATACTGATTGATATTCAGCTTACAGAAAGAAATATGTAAAGAAGTATATGTCGTCCATTATTTTTCTCATATATTATAAAATATATAATTTGATTAACTCCTACTAACCAAGATCAGGTTATCCAGACTATAATTCATTGGCAGGTACATATTTTTTTTAACTGAATTGTATCTTTGAAGTATCATGCCTACATTGAGGGTTTTTATAAGACAGGCCTAATATGTGTGTCTGTGTTCTGGAAAGAGCTTTAAGTAGGGATGTGCTGGTCAACCTTTGACAACTAGTTTTCTAGGGGACAAAAATCCCTTCTATGTAGCATTTGCCAATTCCCATGGTGTAAATTCTTCCCCAGTGGCTGATATCAAAACATCAATGTGACCTCACCGGACTCAAAGTTGAGAAGACATGCTCACCAATGTATCACATTGCATGGTTAAAGCTAGAGCAAATCAGCTCCTGAATATCATTACCTGCAGAAGTGAGCATACTTCTCTAGAACGATGCCTTCTTTTACCTTGTGGATAAGAGCAACTTGCATCCTGGATCAAATTTTAGTTACCGTGTTTGTGCTACAAAGCTTAGAGCCAAACTGAAAGCTAATTTAAAATAATGTATGTATTATTTAAAATAAGGTATGTTTTCAAGTTTTTGTTGCCTCATTTCTAGGTCTATTTGATCTTAACTCAATCCTTGTTTTATTTTTTCAGTTTTGTTTTGTTTTCAGAGACAGGGTCTCACTCTGTAGCCCAGGCTGGAGTACAGTGGCATGAACATGTCTCACTGCAACTTCAAGCTCCTGGGCTTGAGCAATCCTCCTCCCTCAGTCTCCCCAGTAGCTGGGACTATAGTTGTGCCCCACTGTGCCTGGCCTTGTTTTTATTTCTTTTATTCGTATTTTTAAAGTTCATTCCATCTTTTAAAATTTATAAGCTATATCAGTTATTTTCTGGAATGAGTCATAATAGACTTAAAGAAATAAATGAATAATCCTCGGACAATTTCAGACACAGAGTGGGAATTAAAAATGAAGTACTAAAATATCTCATAGCTGAAAGTGAAAGAAAAAGAGGTTGCATATTAACTCCACTTCCACCTAGGCAGGAGCAGTTTGCTGCCCTCTCTGGCCCTCAGTATTCTTATCTATGTAGTTAGGTACGTCAGGAAAAGCTCTTATTCAAATTATCCATAATGTTGTCACTTCAAAAGCCACTGGTTCATTGTAAAACTAGATTGCACTGATATTTAACACCGTTTAAATAAACTACGTAGTTTCATGCTATGTTCAAATGATTTTAATATACTCAATTTTAACTTTTGCAGACTGCTATTGGCTCATTGGTGTTGACAGGCAAACTTGTAGCTACATATTATTAGCTCTTTATAAAATGACATTTCATCTGTAGGCAGAGTAAAAAATTTTGAATTTTATGCATGAAAAGATTGATAGCTGGCACAATTATTAATTTCTGCAGGCTTCCTGTTGGTGGTATATGATTTGGAAAAGACATTTGCAGTTACACTCTAATAAAAAAAAATGATTCTATCCTGTCGGTTAATTTTGGAAAGCAAAGTACTTTAAGCAACTCTACTTGAATAGTCCTAGTTCCCAGGGATATGTTAGCAATTCATATGAGCAGATGGCTATGGCATGGCAGGAAGTGTTCTGGGGTTGTCAGAACTTGTACTTGAATTACAGCTATGCTTTGATCACCACTTGACCTTGGAGAAGGTATGAAATAATCTAAACCTTATTTTTATGTTGTAAAATGGGTAAATCCATTCAATTTTCAGGACTGATTTGGAGATCAAATGAATTAATAGAGTTAATATTCTTAGCATACTTCTAACTTGGCAAATGCAGATACTTGTGACAATTCCCTCACTGGTCTTTTCATAGGTTCTTTAGTGCACAATTGCTCAGTCATATTCAAGGGCTTATTTTAAATCAAATGGCAAGGAAATCAAGTGTTTCTTCCCAAATTCCTCAGTGCATGACTTATTTCACTAGAAGAAATTTAGGTAAAATATTCCAGTGATGGGTATTTCAATGAGGAAAAAACATCAAATAATTGTTATAATAGACAAGGCCTACAAATATTCTAAATTAAAAAGGTTGCTTAGTTCTGTTTTTTTCTACTGCTTAACTACATGAATATCACATTTTTAATAATCTCACTTCTGGAAAATATAGTGACCTACTTCAAAATTTGGAAATAATTGCCTTACATTCTGATTCCATATTGTAAGAAGACATAATATAGATGTTCTTAGAAGTTAGATACAAGGAAAAAAGAATGAAAGACAATCCTTTATAATTTTGTGTGAATCATATGTTCAAAATTGTTCAAAATAAATCTTACTGTGGAAGATACTGTCATCACCTTATTTTAAAAATGTGTTGAAGAAGGAAAGTGTCAGATAGTGAACTTGTGATAATATCATTTAAATGCATTTATAGGGCATAAAATACGCCTAATTAAAAAAGTAAAGTTACCGGATTTTTACTTTTAATTAGAAGCAGTTGAATTTAAATTCCAGGTAAAGAAAGCATAAACACTGCAATGTTTGTCAGTTAAAAGACCATGATAATTAAGCTTGAAATTGATTTCCCATATGTCTGTTTCAAAACATACAACTTAGAAATTACCATGAACTATGCAGTGTGTGTTGGGGGTGGAGGAGGGACTCTGGGAGAAGGATGGACTGTGGAATAATATTAAAACACAATAGGGCCGAACACGGTGACTCATACCTGTGATCCCAGCACTCAGGGAGGCTGAGGCAGGCGGATCACTTGGGGTCAGGAGTTCGAGATGAGCCTGACCAACATGGAGAAATTCCATCTCTACTGAAAATACAAAATTAGCCAGGCCTGGTGGCACATACCTGTAATCCCAGCTAGCCAGGAGGCTGAGGCAGGAGAATCGCTTGAACCGGGGAGGGGAAGGTTGCAGTGAGCCGAGATCGTGCCATTGCACTCCAGCCTGGGCAACAAGAGTGAAATTTCGTCTAAAAAACAAACAAACAAAAAACAATAAAGTATCTTTTTTAAAAATATAAATAAAATTTATGAATATAGAGGGCTAATTACCTTTATCTTGCAGTATAATGTATGTTAGCATATAAGACGACATTTACATATGGACTTTATAGCTCATAATTATTACTAATATTATATAGTAACATCTATACATTATTAATGCAAAATAGATTCTGTTTTAAAACTCTCAATAGCCAGTATGTCAGTTTCCAAATACATATTCATATATTTGATCTCTGATTTTCAACCTGAGTGTTGAAGTACCCTTCAATGTGTAGAGAAAGGAACAAAATTACTCCCATCTCTCCCATGTTCTTAATTTTAATTGAGCCTCTGGTCAGATACCAGTCTACTGGTACTTTAGGTTATGGGGTGCCTGGGGTATTACCTGGTTTATTTCAACTAAGAACACATATCATGCTGTATCTCCCACCCAGCGGTGAGCAGGGGGGGGGGGGGGGGGGGGGGGGGGGACACGAGTCAGGATGAACCTGGAACACGGAAACGTCTAAAAAAAAAAAAAAAGCGGTGGGGGGGTAGTCCAGCTGGAGGAGAATGCTACGGAGGAGCTTGCATGGAATGCCCACGAAGTCTGGGAAGAATCGTCTAAAAAAAAAAAAAAAAAAGGAATGCAGGGGAACTATGTGTTCCCTTGTGGGTCTCTGCATCCTTCCCCTCTACCATTTCAGAACTGCATGAACTGAGCAGCTTCGCTCCTGGGACTACTAACTACTCTGACTGATACTTAATTTGTTGTTTTCTTCTAAGGCAATTACACCAGTAATTTCTGTCACCTAAATTTTTTTTTAAAGCTTGAAGAAGACAGCACTTTACTTTTCTTATCACTGTGACAATGTCTGTAAGATCCATTTGCAAGCTGTACAAAGGCAAAAAGAGATCACTATTAAATGTTTATACCATATAGCCCAAAATGTGTATGTAACTTTATGTCCAAATGTGTTTATTATTTGATGAGCTTGTCTCAGTGCCAGCTGTCACTAAAAGAACCAGAAAAGAGGAAATAGTGGGTAGGATACAACTGAGGGCTTCACATTTAACGATCGTTCCTATCTGCTTTCAGAACAACTTTTCTCAAAGAGGATGTGGAGATTAGAAAATAACCGGCAAATTTATTCTTGTAAAATAGTTTCTTTTTTGTTTGTCTGTTTGATCACAAACAAGAGCATGGCATGTGAAATACCTTCTACCAGTGGTTACATAATTAAATAGTCAGCTATTCAAAAAAGTATGAAATATTGATTTGAAAGACACTTTTCACCAAGCACTGTTCTAGACATGAGAAAGATGGTAAAAAAGTAATGTAGACACATGTTCTGCTTTCATAGAGTTAACACTGTAATGGGATATACAGCTATGCAGCTGAACTTTGGACTAAGATGAACTTTCTACAGTATGCCCCATGCTGAATTTAAGTACTTTTGACCTGACTGAGCAGTATGTTTAGTTAAAACTCTGTGATATGGTTTGGATTCGTGTCTCCACCCAAATCTCATGTCGAATTGTAATCCTCAGTGTTGGAGGAGGGAGTTGGTGGGAGGTGACTAGATCATGGGGGTGGATTACCCCATTGCTGTCCTGTGATAGTGACTGAGTTCTCATGAGATCTGGTGTCTCTTTCTTCCTCCTGCTGCTGCCATATAAGACATACCTCCTTCCTGTTCGCTTTCCCCGTGATTGTAAGAACTGATGGCAATCCTACTCAAACTATTCGGAAAAATAGAGGAGGAAGGAATACCTCCAAATTCATTCTAAAAGGCCAGTATTACCCTGATACCAAAACTAGACAAACATAAAAAAGGAAAACTACAGGCAAATATATCTGATAAGCATTGATGCAAAAATCCTCAACAAAATACTAGCAAACTGAATTCATAGACATATTGGAAAGGTCATTTATCATGACCAAGTGGGATTTATACCTATGATACAAGGATGGTTCAACATACATAAATCAGTGTTATACATCATATCACCAGAATGAAGGATAAAAACCATATGATTATTTCAATTGCTGCTGAAATAACGTTGGATAAAATTCAATATCCCTTCATGATAAAAAACCCTCCAAAAACTAGGTATAAAGGGAAAATATTTCAACATAGTAAAATCCACTTATGACAGACCCACAGCTGGCATCATACTGAATGGAGAGAAACTGAAAGCCTTTCTTCTAAGATCTGAAACATGACAAAGATGCCCACTTTCAACTGTTATTCAACATAGTGCTAGAATTTCTATCTAAAGGAATCAGACAAGAGAAAGAAATAAAGGACATCCAAATTCGAAAGGAAGAAGTCAAATTACCCTTTCTTGGAAATGATATGATCTTATATTTGGAAAAACCTAAACTTCATAAGAAACATATTGGAGCTGATAAACATATTCAGTAAATTTGCAGGATACATAATCAACATAGACAAATCAGTAGCATTTCTATATACCAACAGTGATCAATCTGAAAAAGAAATAAAAAACATAATCCCATTTACAATAGCCACAATTAAAATTAAATGCCTAGAAGTCATTTTAAACAAAGGGTGAAAGATCTCTGTAATGAAAACCAGAAAACAGTGATGAAAGAAATTGAAGAGGACACCAAAAACTGACATAGATTCCATGTTCATGGATTAGAAGCATCAATATTGTTAAAATATCCAGAGGCTGAGAAGGATAGTAGGGGGTTTGGGAGGTGGTAGG